TTTTACTGATACCAACTATATAATATGTGACCCGCTCTATCAAAATCAGTCGGAAGTCGCAATGGCTCATTTCAAAATAAACGTGGATTTGCGTAAAAAATTAGTTTTTCGGGGTTCGGGTGTTTTGTTTGATTTTAAATAAAGTCTTGGCTTTCAGAATATGAAACTTTTATTTCGAAAATCACACGATAAATATGTTTTTGAAGCTTGTAAAGGGAAGATGACAAGTCCCTCCGGCATAAATTATGAATGTAAGCGTATAGTAATCATAGATAACACGGCAGGGTCCGTTACAGTTTGTTTTCATCTGATTTCAAATAAACAAAGTCTTGGCTTTCAGAATATTAAACTTGTTTCGGCAAAATTCAGATGATAAATACAACTTTGAAGCTTGTAACGGCATAATTACAAGCGAAGAATGGAGTAACTTAACGTCACAGCAGGCATAACAACAGCCGGTGTTTCTCGTGAGGGTTTTCCCCGGGAAACAAACCAATACATACAAATGCAAAAATACACAAACACACACACACACACACACACACACTCGCGAGCTTCCCCCAGACCAGTAATCTAAACCAAAATATCTTCCCTCCGTACTACTTTGATCATTTGCTCCGCTAATAATCAATCAGATCAATGGATTCCAAAGAAGAGGAAAGGCCTTTTTCTCAAAATGATGACTCAGTAACAGTCATTATATAATGTGACATATTGCTTAATATTTGGAGTACAACAACAATCCTGATATCATTAGAAAGCTAGGAATCTCCTCTTTCAAACGGTGTATACAACTCAAAATGTGTCTTCGGGTCAATGCGAGCAGGTCACTTATACAGTCTTGTAAAAAATAAAATAATAACCACAACAAAATGCCTCTTTGACCGCGGTTTGTTTTTCCTCCTCTAGATGTTCATCTCCCGTACTTACGATGCCACGACTCACTTCGAGACCACCTGTGACGACATCAAAGACATCTACCAGAGGATGACCGGCTCAGAATTTGACTTTTCCGAGATGGAGCGCACGAAGCAAGACTGCTTCGGAGACGTCGAGTAGAGTCCGAGCATCCACAACACTCCTGATTATCAAAGACGACGACGCTGCAGACAACTGAAATCTTACAATTCAAATTAGAAATCCTTCTCAAAAATGTAAACACCAATGGGCTGGCTGATCATCCAAGTAAAGCTCATGATATATCTAGAGATTTGTTATAGTTATTGTGGGATATTTTTCAGGGAGGGGGCTATGGTTTATCAAATCTCATTCTGTTGGATGTTGCACTAAACACTGGTTATGCCTAATATACAGTTAATACCCTACATACTTCTGCTTATCATGTTGGTTTATAGTCCAAAGATGCCAAATGAAATGACAATTCATATTCAAAAGTATCTTACATAGTGGATATATGTTGGGGTGGGAGTGGGGAGGGTTACATTTTTCTGTTATTGTAAAAGAAAAAAACGTTTGGAAGTAAATATCTATACGTCAGTTATTGGTCTTTGCAAGTATTTGTTCATGTCAGGGTGAGGAAGGTGGCTTGGTTTTGTGCATCTGACAGCCATGAGAGAGGGTCCCTGTTCATATCATCAGAACGAGGGGCAAGGGGTGATTGGATTAGATATTTGTGTCTTTTTAACCCCTTTTACTGTAGTCTCCAGCATAGCCAGACACAATAAAGACCAAGCCACAAAGGGTGACTGTAGTCCAGCGTACCCAAAGCTGTTCAAAACGGCTTTATATACCATGATGCATTAGAGATACATTAGTTCCTGTATCATGCACAGTGATGGAAGAGCAGTAACAGCAGATTAATGGGAAGTGTGGATGAGTGTATTTGCTTAAGAAGGACCAAATGTGTACTGCAGCAGTATTGAATTGATGAGAGCCCTGTGTGATATACTCAGTCTTCAAACCACTTAAAAGAAACATATTGGGCTCAAATGATTTCTGTACTGCAAAGTAAAAACAACTTTGTCAAAAATCAAAGCGTTGTTGGATCCATTTCTTCTTAGATTTCAGATGTGTGTGTGTGGAGGGAAAAGTGAATGTGTGAATTGAACCACACATTTTCAATTAAGTAACTTCAAATAATTAGTTGTATGTTTTAAGGTGTTCTTGTAACTCGCAACACTAGCCGTCCGAAGAGTTGCATCCTACTCAAATTCTAATTTTAGGGTGTAGAGTTTTTAAAACTTACTGCATATCTGGTGGGTTTTAAAATGTATGATTGCTTCAGAAGTTTCCATCACAATGAATAGGTAACTTCAGTACTAGATATAAACATTGGTTAGTGGTTACTTCCCAGTGTTGTGTGTAGGCTATTATTACTAATGACAAGAAAGCAAGTGGAAATATTAGGGAAATGGGTGTTTAGCTGTGCAAAATGGGATATGTTTTAATATATTAAAGATTTGAGTAGATCAGCTAAGCTATGAATATATACAGTATGTTTAAAACAACATTAATAGAAGTTGGGAATAAGTCAATTTCTCTCTCCAAGCAAAGGACAAATAAAGATGAGGGTGGTATATCGGTGAAAGTAAGAGAAAACGCTCTCAGGATATTACAAATAACTAATTATTAGAATCAAAAAAGATATAAGCAAATGATTGTAAAGCAAAGCTGTCAGATTTGTTGTAGTTACAGTAATGAACTACTTAAAAAATGACACGAAAAAAACAACCTATTTGAACTACTGCCATGAATGTAGTAACATATCTTATCTGTGACTTGTAATATCTGTGACCTTCAAAGACCATTAAAACAAAAAACATTAAAATAATATGATTATATAATTAATACAAATAATTGAAATAAGTTCCAAATTCGGATCAATAAAGTATCTATCTATCTATCAAACGTAAGAACTACAACTCCCAGCATGCACTTCGAGTTCTAGGTATGTCACATGACTCGCTCCGCATGTAAACCAACCAGTGCTTCTTTCGGGATGTAAACATCACCAGCTCGCTGTTTACATCTCATGTCTCTGCGTCTGCTGCCTTATTCCTTCCCAAAAAAAATAAGACGGAATGGAAATTCAAAGTGACCGAGATTATTTCTTTGGAGACATTGGTGAGTGTGAGAAATAGAGAACACTTCCGGTCAGAATATCTAGTTTTTTTGGGACCTTTTTCGGCCCGGTTTGACCAGCATGTAACGTTATCCACATGTGTCATGAGGAATGGTAACATGCTAATTAGCTGTAGCTCGAGTGTTGGACTTGAGTGGACATTTACTCAAGTCCTGCACTTAAGTACAATTTTGAGGTTAGGCCTACTTGTTTTTATTTGAATATTTTAATTTCCTTCCACTTTATACGCCTTTACAGTTCAGGGGTAAACATTATATTTCTAGTATTTTTACCCCTTGGTAGTTTTAAAGGCTTTTCGGCTGTAAACAAAGTAAAAAAATACATTTGAATGTAGGACTTTTACTTGTGACAGTGGTATTGTCAAGTAAGTGTAGTGTACTTATTAATTCTGAGTACTTTAATCCCATTTGTAGCGTCTTTTACGCATGTTACTACTGATAAGTGTGTATGGATACTGACAACAAACTATGGGGTGCATATACAGTAAGGAATGTTATGGTAAATCAGTCCTTGTATGTACAGTATTTGAGGAGACATGTACTAGAAGACTACTTTTCTAAGATGTGATACAATTATGTAATGTACTACTACTATATACAAAATGTACAGAGTGTACATTAAACAACATATTTACAGCAGAGCTCAAACTATTAGGTAACAGTTGTCTATTTATACACTCATACAAGAGGATTGACAAACATCTTAAGGCAAGATAAGAGAAGATGGACCTTTTTAACAGCAACAGGGTAAGAAGGAAAAACAGGACAACACAGATTCACACAGATTAGAGATGAATACAATTAAAGATAACATCAAAGATAACAATACCATTATACACAGGTAAGTAACTTTAAAATATGAAATGAATTCAAATTAAAATGAACATATATAGATTCAATTTCAAGATTCAAGGCTTTTATTGTCATGTGTACCAGATGAATGTTATGGATGTCCTTTCAAAAGTTCAGGTGTTGAACAGTCTTATGGCCTGTGGAGTGAAACTCTCCGTGAGTCTGGTGGTTTTAGACCTGATGCTGCGGTGCCAGATATTTGGGCCATATTTGGTGATCATCCTGATGTGTCCTGCAGGCTGCTGGTCTGAGAGGACGGAGGTGCACAAAGCAGCGTCTCAGGGCCAGACGTCCCAGCTGCAGAGTCTGATCCTCAGCGGAGCTTCAGTCAACGTGGTGGCGGTCGACTCCATCACCCCGCTGCACGAGGCCTGTCTGCGGGGACAGACCCAGTGTGTCCGCCTGCTGCTGGACGCCGGAGCCCAGGTGAGACAGACAGGAGCAGCATCTTATGTAGAAAAAACAGCTAGCCTTTTAATATCTCCCACACAATTATCAAATCGGAGGTACAAGGTCCCACGATTTAATAAAGTAAGACTGAAGCCCTCTTTTGTGCCCCAATCGACCCTCAAATCCTATAAACGCCTGAAAGGGGATAAATAAAGTTCCATCTTGTCTTATCTTAAAGGTCACCTATTATGTAAAATCCACTTTGTCATGTCATGTCTTAGAGACTCTGGAAGTTTCAGGAACAAAGATTCTCCCTCTTTTTGATCCATTTCTATAAAAACCTGTCTGAAAATGAGCTGATCAGATTTTGGCCACTTTATGATGTCATAACGATTTTGTGGCTTGTGTAACCATTAGCCAATCAGCAACCAAGGTAACCCCCCCCCCACCTCACCTCGATACTCCTCCTACGAGCACCACTGTTGTTCTTTTAACCTTAAA